CTGCGGCGTCTGCGCAGAGTTGGCGCAAAATGAACGCTTCGGTGAACGAAACCGAATGGGAGCCGAGCGCCGAGTTGGCCACCACTCTCATCCAGACGCTGGGCGCGCTCGTCGGCGTCTTCCTCTCACTGCTGACCATCGTGGGCAACGTCCTCGTGATGATCGCCTTCAAGACGGACAAAACGCTGCAAACCATCTCGAACTACTTCCTGCTGTCGCTCGCGCTCGCCGACTTCCTCATCGGCTGCATCTCCATGCCACTCTCTCTGGTCTACATTCTGGCCAATTACTGGCCGTTCAGCGCGCTCCTCTGCGACGCGTGGCTCGCCATCGATTATCTCAACTCCAACGCTTCCGTTCTCAACCTTCTGCTCATCTCTTTCGACCGCTTCTTCTCCGTCACGCGCCCTCTCACCTATAGAGCGCGCCGCACCACCAGACGCGCGTGCGCCATGATCGCGGGCGCGTGGCTCGTGTCCGCATTATTGTGGCCGCCCTGGATCTTCGCGTGGCCGGCCATTGAGGGCAGAAGGACGGTTCCCGCTGACCAGTGCTACATCCCGTTCCTCGAGTCCAACATCTGGGTCACGATCTCCACCGCTCTCATCGCCTTCTGGCTGCCCGTCACGCTCATGTGCGTGCTCTACTGGCGGTAAGGCTATTGTTGACACGACGCCGACGACCACTGACGACACTCTCTCATTATGTTTAGGATCTGGCGCGAGACGGAGCGTCGCTACAAGGACTTGACGGCTTTGGTGTTGGTTTCCCATTCGCTGTCGTCGTCGCGCAACTCCTCTCAAGGTCACGCCGCGACCTCAGTCAGCTGTTGGCAGAAGTGCTGTCAGAAGACGGCGGCGTCCACGACGTCCATCGCGATGTCGGGCGAGACGCCGCCCACCAGCGACTCCATCTACACCATCGTCATTCACCTGGAGTGCGCCAACAATGAGCACGCGGCCACCGTCACCATGCTCAACACCTGCGACGCGTGACGTCCATCGCGATGTCGGGCGAGACGCCGCCCACCAGCGACTCCATCTACACCATCGTCATTCACCTGGAGTGCGCCAACAATGAGCACGCGGCCACCGTCACCATGCTCAACACCTGCGACGCGCCGCCCTCGCCGCCGCCACAGCGCATGCGCGCCCCCATCCAGCCCAAGAGCGAGCGCAAGGCCGCGAAGACGCTCTCTGCCATCCTGCTCGCCTTCATCGTCACGTGGACGCCGTACAACATCCTCGGTATGCATAATGATCACGTGACCACTGTTGACTCCCTCTTTATTTCAGTGTTCGTGAAGACGTTCTCGCCGACGGCGGTGGACAGCGACGGCCTCTGGTGGCAATTCGCGTACTACTTGTGTTACATCAACTCCACGCTCAACCCTCTCTGCTACGCGCTCTGCAACCAGAACTTCCGCAACACTTACATCCGGATCCTCACGTGTCGTCTCCGACAACAGCAGACGACGACACACACGACACACAGACAACAACACAGACGACACGAACAACAAGTGGTGCAGGACTTTAAATGAAGAGAATCTCGGCGTTCTTGAACAACGCCTGGAACTCCTGTCTCGTGAGCCGCACGTACCCCTCGGGCGGCACGTGCTGTTTGGGCGCGAAGTACGCGTGGAACGTGTTCTCCTCCGTTTCGTTCCTTTTGTCCATTTTTACGAAAGTGTATTCACTATTGAAATAAACACAATAAATACTAAACTCTAGCAATCATTGACTCACTTCTGGTCGTCGCGCGCCTCCGCGTCGTCAGCAGTCTCGGCCACCTCGAGCTCCACCTCTGGTTTGGGCAGCAGTTTGGTGACCAAAGAGTTGACGTGTTGTCCGAAAGTCTCTTCTTTCACCGGTTTTTGTCTCCAATTCGTGATCACGTGTTCCCGGATCTGATTGATGTCCGTCTCGCTCAGCACGTGCTCGGCGTCCGTCTCCACGGCGACCGGCACCGTCAGGAAGTGCTTGTCCATCGCCTCGGAGGCCGCCGTCTGCATGGGATCCGCGCTCTGGCCTCTGATTGGCCGCCAGCCGCCGAAGTCGATGCTAACCAATGAGAGAGTGTTATTCGAAAATTCAAAAATTCATTCCATACTCAATGGGGTTGTGGAAGGAAACCCTTTTGGTGACGAAGGGAACGCCGCGAGAGCGCGAGACGACAATCGAGAGACAGAGCAGCAGAATGTAAGTGTTCGCCATTTCCACGACTTCGCAATGAATGCGAGTTTGGGTCAAATGTGTAGAGAAGACACGATTTGGGATTCGAAACCCGTTTTTCTGGTTTGAATTCCGGCGCGCGATTCGAAGCGACGGATTCTGCGTTCCATTGCCGCGATTGCGCGCATTGTTGTCACTCTCGGGACAAAATGGCGGAATTGGAGTCCAATTTGGAGACGGTTTGCGAACACGAGCCCAAACTAGAGTCCAGAACAGTCGCCACGCGCGCTTATGGCGACGTCCGCGTCCACGTCCAAGGTGCGCTCTTGTGCTGTGCTGTTGTTGCGCTCACCACTCTCTCCCCCTTCATCCTCAGGCTCTCTGGACCAGATGCAGTCGAAGGCCGTGTTCCTCACAGTGCACGACATCGGCGCCAACCACAGGTCAGCTGTTCTGCTTCTCTCGCGCCTCTAATTGCATTCTCTATATTGCAGTTCTTGGAAGGACTTCGTGGACAACGAGTCGAGTAATTATTCTCTCATTGTTCGCGCGCTCTAACAATAACTTCCACTGATTAGTGCTGGAGATCAAGAACCGCTCTGTGTTCGTCCACTTGGACGTGTGCGGTCAGGAGGCGGACGCGGAGGACCTTGAAGGCGACTTCCCCACCATCCAGCAGATAAGCCATAAATAGAAGCATAACAGCGCTCCTATAGTCTATTCTATTCACATAGGCGAGGAGGTGTTGGCGGACGTGTTGGACGCGCTGCACGTGCCGCTCGTGGTCGGCCTCGGCGAGGGCGCCGGCGCCAACATCCTGGCCCGCTTCGCGCTGCGCCACCCGGAGCGCGTGCTCGGCCTCGTGCTCGTGCACCTGGTCAGCGCCGAAGTGGGCTTCCTGGACCAGTTGAAGGATCGGCTCTTCTTCCGCCGCAACTCCCAGCAGATGTCGCCACTCGACATCGTCGCGCTGCACAAGGTCAGTCGGTGGTCAGCCAGTATGTGTCACGTGACTCTCCTGTCCTCAGATCGGGAAGGAGCGTGACGAGACGTCGCGGCGCCTGATGGACGCGTACGGGGCGCGCGTGCAGACCATCAATGCGCGCAATCTCCGCAAATACGTGACGGCGTACATGGAGAGGAAGGAGATCGCGGATCTGCGCGAGCTGGACGTGCTGCTGGTCACTGGCGCGAAGTCGCCGTACTGCGCAGGCGTGGAGGCCATTCACTCGAAATGCAACAAAACCAAGACTTCGCTGTTGAAAGTGGACGAATGCACTGACGTCATCAGGTCTGTTGCAAATGCAGCCAATCGCGCGCCTCCTTTCTAACTTATCTCTCTTTGCAGCGAATTTCCCGACAAATTGGCGCAAAGTCTGCTTCTGTTCGCCAAAGGATTGGGATTTCTCACTTCCTGTCCTTCGGCCGACGGCAAGTGGTTGTCATGACGACCATTCAATACTAACCCTTTCTCCCAACAGGTCGCGACCCGAAGACTCTGGGCTCCATCGGTCGCCGGCGCACTCTCTCGATGGAGGAATACGTGAGTATTGTCTCTATAATGGACTCACCCCTGAAGACGTTGTCTCTCTTTCAGGACATCCCAAGAATGCGAAGACTTTCGCTCACCAAATAATCTTCATTTCTCGCTCTCAATGTCTCTGTCTCTGATTGTTGTCAATAAAGCAGTGTTTAAGCCGTGAATGCATTCAGGTTTCAACGACAACGAACTCGTGATCAACAATGAAGAGTTCGTTCGCCGATCGAAACCCGAATTCAATGGCAGTTCTGTCGTTCGCGTCGTTCGAGGCGTCCATTCGTCGTCTACTGTCGTCTCTTTCTCTCTGTGTTCTCCCAAACGCTCCGATCGATCGTCTCTACACTGCGTTCGGAGCGAAGAGCGCGCGCGTCAACTCTCCTCAGCATCTCTTCATCCCAACGCATGCGCACAACACTCACATCACTCTCGCAGTGAAACTCTTTGAAAACAAACATTTTTTCTGTCAATTTTGTGAACACTTGTTGCGAGCGATGCGTTGGAAGCGCGCGAACGACGCCTGCGGTCAGCGTTGAGGTCGAGATCGGACGCCGAGTGTCGTTGTGGTCGTCGTCTCGAGCGGTGTTGCGGTCGACGACAGGACGACGAGAACGGGTGGTGTCGTCGGTGTCGTCGGCGCGTCGTTTCTGTCGTCGTTTGCGTCGCTTTTGCGCAAAAAAAATCTGGATTTTCGCCAAAAAGTGAAACAAAAATAGTTTTTTCAATGTTTTCGCGAAACGATTGCAAAACTCAGGAAAATGGAGAGCAGAAGAGCGTGAATGACATCTCCAGTCGTTGTCTGCGTTTTCGCCATTTTGGCGACGAATGGCAACAGATCTGCGAAACGCTTCTTTCCTGCGAACAGTTGTTGACAGTTATGTCTGTGAATGAAGACAACAATTGCCAAACAATTTGCGACACAATCGACGACACATCGCGACTACAGTTGCGACAAATCATTAGATCCATTGAACCCAAGAAATACTCGAAAACAGCGCACAAGAGATCCGCTTCCGGCCGAAGATCTTCTTACCACAGACTCAAGGCTTTGACACAACTCCTCATGACTTCCAATCTGAAGGTATTGTTGACCACTCTTTCCAACACTAATCCGTGTCGTCTTCTGTGACAGCGCTCGACGTCTCTCCAGTCGTTACGTGTCGTCAAATCTCCCGACGACTGTATGGACGACACGACGGCAACGCTTCCACGACTCGGACGCCGTCCGCGAATCACACGATACTATCACTCGTTGGACGTCTCGGACGACAACAATGACGACACCAACGACGGCGACGACAGCCCACACAAGTCGGGCGACAGAAGCGGACTGTCGTTAGTGTTGTCGTCGTCGCCGTCGACACAACTGTTGCCAACGACAGCCATCCAGAAGCAGTTGAATCGCCACTCGTGTGACGTCACGAGTTTACTGCTGTCGCCGTCGTCGCAGTCGTCGTCTCAGATGACAAACTCGTCGCCAAACGGCAGACAAATACTTAAATACTCGAAGAAACGGTTGAGAGGTTTGTTGTCGTCGTGCGTGTCGTGTGTTTGTCGTGACTGACGACGTGTTGTCTCCCAAACAGGTCCTTATGGAGAGATGTTGGAGTCGATGATGAATACGAAGAACAACAACGAAGAGAACGACACGAAACACAATCTGTCGTTCATTCAGGAGTTGTTGAGAGAAACCGAGAAACAGAGACAACAATTGGACACCAATGCGAAGGAGACGACGGGAACGGCTGTCGTGGACGCGACGCCCGAGACGACGACGACGTCAATAATGGCGACAATCGGTCGTCATTTGGACACCAGAACCCATATTGTGGGCGAACTCTACGACACGGAGAAGAGTTTTTGCGAACAATTGCGAGATTTGGTGGAAAAGTATTCGAAACCTTTGACCGAATTATTGATCATTGATTCGATTTTCGTGGAAATCATTTTCGGCAAAATCCCGGAAATCCTTTTGATCCACTCGAAGTTCTTGGAGGGGTTGCGGCACCGGATGTGCTCGTGGTCGCCGCTGGAGACCACTGTCGGCGATCTGTTCGCACTGTTCGACGAGAAGAGCGTTTCCTCCGCTTACCTCTCGTTTGTCGACAACTGGTTCGAAGCCAAACATCTGGTGAAACAGTTGTCGCGCGACAAACCCCTCTTCCAGAAGTTCCTGACCGAACAGTCACGTGAACACCGCTCGAAGCTCTCATTGGACGAACTCATGATTTCCGTCATTCAAAGAATTCCTCGTTTCGAGCTTTTGTTGAAACAGTTGCTGAAAAACACGGCGAAAGAGCACAAAGACTACGCGCTTCTCAACAATGCCTTAAGTAAGTGTCGTGTGTGTGTCGTGTCTGTCGTCTAATGTGTCGTCTCTTTGCAGAGAAAATCCATTCGTTGGCGCTGTATATCAATCGCGTGAAGAACGACGCGGACGTCATCTCCCACTCGTCGTCGCTGTCGTCGACGACAACGACGGCGCAGTTGGACGTCAACCAGTCGTCGATCACAATCAGCCAATTGGAGACCATTTGCGACGGACTGCCGGCGGCGGCGCTCTTGGGCTCAACTCTTCACGAAATAGCTTTCGTTTCGATTCGAAAAAGAGAACGAATTTTGCTTTTATTCTCGAATCTATTGATTATTGTTTCGATTAAAGGGAAGAAAAAATCGCAAAAATTCGAAGAAAACAAATACAAAGTTTTGAATT